AGTTTGGGACGGCGAGGGTGTCGGTCCCTCAACGTCCAGGGTTACGGGGTGTGTTTGGCACTGTTTGCTGATGTGCAGGCTGCGGAGTGGTGGGGGCTTGCAGTGGGGTTCCGGGGTTCAGTGAGATAGGGGGTGTTTCGACAGTGTGGCGCAGCCTGGCCGGGGGGGGGAGGCTGGCGTACCCGCAACGGAAGTGCGGATGGTCGGGCCTTGAGGACGACGGAGGCCGTGGAGCGTTTTTTTTTTTTCAACCTTCAACGCTCACGGCGCGCACATCAACATGCCCGTTGCTGCGACCGCGGCCTCCGTTGTTCGGTTTCCCCGCGGAACGGGCACTTCGTTCAACGTGGATTCAACGAGTATTCAACGACGTTGAATCCATTCAACGGATTTTCAATGCCGTTCAACGGGCTCAACGGGAATTCAACGGGGGGTCCGGCCTGTGCTGGCCTTTTTTTTTGTGCACTCTGCCAGGGCCGCAGGGCCGGCCGCTGCTGTGCAGAGTTTGTTGAACAGTGTTCAACGGGGGGGGGGCATTGTACCTTTCAACGGGGTTTCAGCGGGGGTCCCAGGGCTATTCAACGGGTACAACGGCGTTGATAAGATCCCGTTGCCCGTTGAATGGACACATAGAGCACACCAACCATGTGCAATACCTATCCCACATTCTTGAGGTTGGGTACCAGCCCAAACTTCTTCATCTTGGCACTAACTCCCCATCTCACCCCCGCCAATGGGCCTACTGGATCACAATCCGGCTTGAAAAGCACACCAGATTCGTAGCCGGGTGCAACGAGGCCGAAGGAGGTGCCGTGAACCGTTAGAAAGAGGCCCATGGAAGGTGGAGAGAAAATAGTGGGCCTACCGATTCATGAATCTGGCATGAAAACAGTGTTAGATCCATAGTAGAGTAGAGTAGAAAGAGCCGCAGGGAGGTGTTGCCACGTCGTGGACGACCCTATTACCCAAATGGAAAAGGTTTGGGAGGATAGTACCCAAGATATCATCCGCAAACTGATCAGACCCACGTAATTCAAAATTAATTGCACTCGTTTCATTCGGGTCTGCTTTACCAACAGTTCATGGGTGCACATTCAGCCGCATACGTTTCGGAGCCATTTTTTAAGAGTGCTGCCAGGTTTTTTAGGAAGCACAAGGCCGCCATTTCACTGGACATCCATCTAGGCCAAGCAGGTCGCATGCGAGGCCTGTTTTGCCTGGATGGGTGTCCAACAAAACGGCGCCTCAGGTACTTCGCGAGAGGCGCGACAGCATGCACGCCGCGAATCTGGAAAAATGGTTGAGAAGCTTACTGGTATTTTCATCTTGAACTTCTTTCAAATTGATGATCAAATCTCTCTTGTAGTTGGCTTACAAGCCACGTTTTGTACCGCGCGACTTCACATACCCTTCAGACTAAACCTTCAAGTAAGATTTGAAGACGAATCTCAAGTAATATTGCAAATGTAGAAGGGGGTCGGTGTGAATTTTTGCATGTAAGAGCCCGTGTTTTCTTAGTAACGTCCTCGTCATTTTACAATTTAAATCATCTGCGACCATCCAGAAACTTTCGAAGAAACGATTATGATTTCTGTTATCGTTGTGTTTTTTTGCTTGTTTTTAAATTGTGCGCTCGGAGAGCAATTTGAATTTTTGCAAGTTTACGCAAGCCAACTTCCCACTAATGGACACGAGCCAACTTCACTTCTTGCTCGCTGATTCATCCGTATGCACCTCTTCGTCTTTCTCGCTCCCTTTGGACACGGGATGATTGGTCGCAAGTCGATTAAGTCGGATCAAGTCGTAACGTGCTAAGAGCAGAGTTGCGTGCGTGGCTTGATTGATGAATCTGAATCCTGCGCAAATTGAAAAATTTTCCCGCCTTCTTTGTTCTCTCCGCTTTCCATAACCTTTCTCCTATCCCCGTCATTCTTCCTCTCTCCACTCCCACACTTTCCTGACTAACACCTCGCCACCTTCCTTACTTTGAATTCGCATTATTTGCTACCCTAAGTTCTGCTCTTTGATCTCGACAGAATCGGCTACAATGCTACGTGGGCTATGTGCGAAGATTGCAGTGCTGGACATGCCCATAGACGGGCGGAGTGACAGTGTGAGGTAAGTCTAGCAGTAGTATCAATATGTTGTAGTCGGCGAGACTGAGCAGTGGTGAAGACAAGTATACGACCAAGTGCAGGGCCTTTGGGCTATGCTAGCGCATGTCTCGAGTTTGGATATGATGGGTCGTGAGCATGTGGCGACATCATATATAATGTTGAAAAGTTCCGAGGGACTTCACTTTTTCTCCATGATCGCTGCTTGTCTGAATGTGCATATATGCTGAAGAGTAAGCTGTGTACTAAGTCGTGTGCAGGACCTTCGCTGTGAGCGTCGAATGAGTCGTGTGATTACTTTATCGTTAGGAAGGCAGTCGAAGTCTATGGATGCTTTAGATGTTGGGTATGCATGAACGAATTCATAGTTGCTGTTTTTTCTCTTGTTACACTCTTCAACATTCATGTGTCGAAGATAATTAAATAATTCATATCCTATAGTTTGTTGGTGTTCGTGTATGGATGAATTGGATAATATATGTCTCTCTACATCGTTGTTTGCAGTAATCTTCTTGCAATTTTGGTTTGCATTCGGGCATAGTGAACAAAGTTCTTAGTTAGAGTTGCATGTAGTAATGCCTATCTGAGTATCAATGCGGGCAGTTGCCCATGTTCGAACTTAGCGTCAATTTTCCTGAGTTCCCCATTGCAAACGAAGACGGAGTCTACGGGAATGTGGACGTTTAAACATCGTTATTGGGAACCGACTAGGTTCATTTCTTTAATCCATCTAAAGCCTTTCACTTTGGAGGAGGGGGGTTCATTTTGATAAATTGCTTGGACTCTCCCCAACTGATCCTCCCTTACATTTACCTTACATTGCTTACTGTGCTTCCTTGGTCGGCTACGTATGCCACGTCGAACCCCCAATTTAACTGAGCATGTTGTAAGTTTGTGAACTCATGTTTGTGGCTTGGTATTGGGATCCAAAGGGTGTTGAGGTCCCCAAGACACGCCCGCTAATGCTCTTCTTGGGATTCCGAACTTCCGAGTCCAAGCGCCCCCTTGCCCTCCATTGTTTGATAGTGACGAGACTAACCGATCAGAGGGTGTCTATTTGAAACCAGAGTCCAAAGATAAACCTCGACTGTCCGGGCCCAACTTCGTCCTTTTTTTTCTGAGTGCTCCTTGGAGTCAGAAACAATTTTGAGTAGATACGGATTCTTTTCGTTGTTTCTCTGCAATTTTGCTTTTGTCCTTCTTAAATTTTTAATCTTACGAAAGTAACTTTGAAACTTACACGATGACCCGATTATGTTCCGACAGTTCAACTTTCCTGCCTTAAATCCTCTGTGATGCTCCACCTGCTTTGGTCAGCGCTTCCCAAGGGTACAAAACGCTGTGCGTGGCATAAGGTTGCGTATCACAGTCTGCATAAGTGAGGTGCATACTCTAACATGCTGAGATGCGTGTTTTCTCAGTTGCCGAATAAGAAATGTCAGTCATATCTCAATTTTTTTTTACGTTATGGTTGACGACAGATGCTCAGACCTGTGTTTGAGTCTACCACTTTATCTGTTAGGGAGTAGATGCTGATTGAATATTATTTTTGGGTTTGAAAAAGGATCTTATTTTTCGAAACCAGAAATCAGTACTGCTTAAGTGGCAATGGATATAATATTATGACACAAGTTCGGATGCGACAGGTTCTTAGTCGCACTTTTTCTAGTCAAGCCACTTCCAGTGACCAGAAAACCAGCAGGCTGTCACACACGATTTTGATG